GTTACAGCCCTTGACCTGTGTTACAGCTCTTTTAGGAGGTTCCTTGCCTCCTCTCTGTCTGCTTTTTCTTCTCTCTTCTTACTTTCTTCTGCTCCTGTCTGGCCAGCTCCTTGTCAGTTTCAAGGCATGACCCTCCCACCAGACCCACAAACTGACCAGTCCCCTCTCACTAGGCCACAGATACTTCATTTGCATAGTATGTTATAGTCACTTCATTAGCATAAGTATATTGACCAATCCCTGCAAGGTACATACCGATCACAGGGTGGGCTGCAGCGTAGGGCCAGACAAGAAATATCAAACCTGAGTTTGTTTACAGCTCACCCAGGAAATGTCAATCAACTTGGACAAAAGTAACAAACCCTTTGGGGTAGAAAACTAGGGTAAAGGTAACTCCCCAGGGCTTAGGAGAAAAATCTCTCAAGCTGTTTTTCCAAAGAACCAAGGCAAAAAGCCACATAAAGGAACTCATTTCACTACATTGATGATCTATTATGTGTGTGTACCATAGTTTATTCAACAAATCTCCTATGTATGAGCATGTAGGTGGTCTTCAATATTTTGCAATTACTTACAGTGCTGCAATGAGTAAGCTTGTATATATGTATTTTTGAATTGTGGGAGATATATCTTCAGAGTAAATTCCTGGAAGTGAGATTACATATGCAGTTTTATTAGATACTGCAAAATTCTCACTTCTCTCTCATTTTTATTAGAAATTTATTGGTCTTTATTTTTCTGTCCTCAGTATCTCTTAATAACCCTTTTATCAGTTCCATCTCTTTAAAACTGCAGTGATGCATTCTGGGTGATTTCCCAGCTCTGTCTTCCAAATTAATAACTCTCTTCAGTTGTGTCTAATCTTCTGTTTAACCTAGCCATTGAGTCTTTAATATAGATAACTATTTGTTATAGTTTTAGAATTTCTCTCTGATTCTAAATCTACTTCTTTTTTCACTGAAAGGGCTACTCTTTGAGGCTTCAGGCTGTATTTTGGGAATGCTATTCTAGTTCTCCACCTCATGTGGTCCAAGAGCACATTCTCTTCCTCCGTGTGAACATTTAAACCTAGATCTCTAGCTCCTGGATTTTTATCTGGATCTTGAACCCCCAGGAATTGTTGCAGCTTTAGCGTCTGCTTACTCTTCTCGCTTTGAGTTCCCCCTTTTTCTACCTCCTTTGAGCTTGGGCTTGGCTATGTTTTTAGTATTTCTGTTTGTTTGTAGCAGAGTGGGAGAGGAGGACGTTCGAGTCAGCTGCATCTGCTATATTGCCAAAAACCAAAGTGATCTGATTTGTAATGGCATGTGTTCCTTCCTGTTTGCCACAAGTGCCATACCAGAAGCTTTCAGGAGCTGCATGTAACTTTAGGATGTTGGAAATGAAGTACTTGGATAGGAGCAGTGAAGCTGGAGCCCCTATGGTGGGAGACAGTGTAATTTGCTGGAAGAATCATCAGCCCAACACCCACCAGCTCTGTACCTGTGTACTTCACTTAATTTTTTTGTTGGCATATAATATACATCCAGAAATGTGCACAGGTCATAAGTGTACAGCTCCATGGATTGTCACAAACTGACCACACTCATGTAACCAGCACCCACATCAAGACACACAACATGATCAGCCCCCCAGGAACCCTCCTCATACTCTCTTCCAGACACTAGTCCCCTTATGGACCATTTTATTGACTTGTAATGCCATGAATTAATTTTGCATGTTTTTGAGCTTATATAAATGGAATTATACAGTATGTAATATTTTGTGTGTGGCTTCTTTCACTCAGTATCTGTGAGATTTGTCCATATTGTTGTATGTAGTTGAAGTTTGTTCATTCTCATTCTATATAGCACTCCATTTATTTATCCATTCTACTGTTAATGGGGATTTGAGTAGTTTCCACTTCCAGGCTATTGTGAATATGCTGCTGTGGACATTCTTGGACGTATGGGCACATTTCTTATGGGTATATGTATAGGAGTGGGAGTGCTGGGCCACAGTGTATACATATATTCAACTTTTAATAGATACTGTCCAACAATTGTCCAAATTTATACTCCCATCAGCAGTGTAGGAGAGCTCTTGTTCTTCCTTGTCTTTGCTAGCCCTTGGTATTTGTCTTAGTTATCTAATGCTGCTATAACAGAAATACAACAAGTGAATGGCTTTAACAAACAGAAGTTTATTCTCTCACAGTCTAGTAGGCTTGAAGTCCATACTCAAGATGTCAGCTCCAGGGGAAAGGCTTTCTCTGTCAGCTTTGGAGGAAGGTCCTTGTCATCAATTTTCCCCTAGGCTAGGAGCTTCTCAGCACAGGGTCCCCAGGTCCAAAGGACACGCTGTTCTCCTGGCTCTTGCTTCTTGGTGGTATGAGGTTCCCCTGTCTCGCTGCTTTCTTTTCTCTTTTATATCTCGAAAGAGATTGGCTTAAAACACAATCCAATCTTGTAGATTGAGTCCTGCCTCATTAACATAACGACCACTAATCCCATCTCATTAACATCGTAGAGATAGGATTTGCAACACATAGGAAAACATCAGATGACAAAATGGTGGACAGTCACACAGTAGTGGGAATTATGGCCTAGCCAAATTGATCCACATATTTTTGGGGGGCACAGTTCAATCTATGATGGTATTTTATTTCTTTTTCATTTTAACCCTCGTGGAAGGTGTGTAGTGGTATCATTTTGTGATGTCAATATGCAGTTCGCTGATGGCTAATGAAGTTGAGCACCTTTTCACATGTGTTTTGCCATTTGGATATCCTCTTTTATGAAGTGGCTGTTCAGGTTTTTTGCCCATTTATCTGTTGGGCTATCTGTCTTTTTCTTCCTGATTTCTGTGAATTATTTATATATTCTGTATAGGAGATCTTTGTCAAGTATATATATATTGTAAATATATTCTCCCACTGTGTGGGTTGTCTTTTCCCTCTCTTAATAGTATCTTGCTGATGAGCAGACATTGTTAATTTTTTCAACTTGATCATCGTCCAATTTATTAATTTTTTTCCTTTATAGTTAGTATTTTTTAGTCCTATTTAAAAACCTTTATCTACTCTAAGGTTATGAAGATAACCTTCTAGGCTTACTTTTAAAAGCTTTAGAGCTGTAAACCATCTAGAATTAATTTTGGTGTATGGTATGAGGTATGAGTCATGGTGCATGTCTTCTCTTCCACTGAGATACCTAGTTGTCCCAGCACCATTGATTGAATTTTTTTTAATCCTCAAAGTAAGCCTAGGGTGTTAGGACCATGCCTACATTTTCAGATGAGGAGACTGAAGCTCAGAGGGGTGCAGTCTTTTGCTCAAGGTCACAGAGCTGGTAAATGGCAGAACCAGGATTTGAATCTAGATTTATTTGATTCCAAAGCCAGGGCTTTTCCCCCATATTACTGTGACTCAGTTTCCCTACCTGTAAAATAAATGGTATGAAACATATAGTCATCCAAACCCTCCCAGATCTGACATGGTGGGTCCATGGGCTTAATGACCCAGGAAAATGTGGGGAGGCACACATAGTGGAGCACAGGGTACAGTGTAGGGGAGGGACTTCGTGTGGCAGGAGTTTTTCACATACGCACACACGCACGCATGCACACACGCACACACACAAAATCAGTGAGGGAGGTATGAACCATTTCAGGAACTGGGGCTTTCCTAGCTGCTGTGTGGCTATCTCCAGGCACAAATCTTCTCCGAAATTTATACCTAAGTTTGGCTTTCTGTTAAACCAGTGAGTGCCGAGGCTTGAGCCTGTGTCTGGCACTTGCTATGGTAACAAGGGACAGAGGCCCAGCTCTTTAATCACCCTACTGCCTTTAGCTTGGCATGGCAACCAGGGAACAGCTCATTAGCTTCGGCTCAGCAGAAAAGAGACGAGGAGTGGCAAGGGGTCCTCCAGCGGGAGCCTGGTGAAATGCCTATGCCTTCCAGGCAGCCCTGGCTCTCAGCTCCATAGCAGGGCACCTAAGACAGAGCTGAGTTGCTGGGAGAGGTGTGTCAGGTGATTTGGAGGCCAGAGCAGGAGATTAGTGATTTCACATGTACAGGAGGGAAAGGCTGCTGGAGAAGAGCAGGGGGTAGGGAGCTGCCCCAGGACCAAAGGAAGGTCTTTTCCCAAATGGGGTGATTTAGGGACAATGGCGGGCTCTGAGCCGAGAGGCAGGATCCCGGCGTCCAGCCCAGCCTGGGCTCCTGCCACTCAGTGAGTTCCTGCCCAGTGCAACGCCCTTGTTTTTCTGTTTTTAAGTTATGTAATTACATATACATATGATCAAAAAACATCTAAATACTACAAGAGAATATCAAATGAAAAATAAGTCTCTTTACATCCCTCCTCCTACCCACAGTCCCATTTCCCAAGTGTAGCTGTTTTTAACCACCTCTATTTTTAGTTCTTCCTGTCATCACTACCTCCATAATAGTACTTAGGTGTCTTTCTTGACTTACCAACTTTGGGCAGTACCTGTGCAATGAGAGACAAAGGATGAACATGGTTAAGCTACCTCCCACCTCTCCTGATTTTTGGTGTCTGTATTGATACATACATCTTTTAGTCAGTTATCCCAAATCCCCATATGTTCATCCCCAGCAACACATACTTGAACACCCATGCACAGTTAGTTGTTCTTCCATAGTCTTCTCAACTAAACTGTAAGTATCTCCAGGCAGATCCCATGCCTTTCTCACGGCTTGAGGACAGACCATGAAGAAGCTCCTGGATACCTGCAGTGAACAAATGAATGTGTGTTCTTGTACCTCTCTGCCTTCTCACCCAGTGGCCAGTCACACCCAAAGACCAAGTTTACATCATCTCTCGTGGTCCCTGAGCTCACCAGAGCAGCCTGTCTCTGGGAATAGCAGATCACGTTTCCAACATTTGGCTGCTGGGCTGAGGTTGGAGTGGGAGGCCAGGCCTAGAGGCAGAGGGGCCAGCAGAGCCTCTGTCTTTCACTGAGGATGGGGCGGGGGGGCTCTCTTTCTGACCTTGTAGGAGGTGTTCCGGCAGCACCGAGGGCTGCAGCTCCTGGCCCTGGTAGAGGAGGTACTGCCCCGCCATGGCAGCGGCCGCCATGGGGATTGGCACATCTCCCTGAGCAAGCCCAGCGAGAAGGAGCAGCATCTGCTAATGACCTTGGTGGGCGAGCAGGGTGAGCGAAGGCAGGCAGGTGGAAGGGAGGGTAGATGTCCTCTGGAGAGAGGACCCAGGAAGGTAGCGTGAGGCAGCACTGAACCAACAGACAGTTTCCGAGGCCACACGAAGTCCCCCTCAGAACCATGGGGAAGTGCACAGACAGCAGGGGCTTCTGAACTTGGACCTCTAGTGTAGCAGGATGAGTCACTGATTGGACGCCCTAGTTGAGGGTTCAGGGAGTTCTGATAAGCTAGGTTCTGGAGAGGAGGTGGAGGGTGGGAATTAGTTTTTGGGAACAGGAGTAAGGTGTGGTTTCAGCACAGGCATGAGATGAGATGGCATTGTACCCTGTGCGTGGTGGGGTGAGAATGTAGGGCGTATCCAAAATGAAGCTGCATGGGGTTGTAAAAGAGACTGCCTAGAATTATACCTGTCTCATAATACCAAACTCATTGCCGTTGAGTCTATTCTGACTCACAGTGACCCTCTAGGACAGAGTAGAACTGCCCCATCGAGCTTCCAAGGAATGGCTGGTGGGTTTGAACTGCTGACCTTTTGGTTAACAGCTGAGCTCTTAAGCACTGTGCCACCAGGGCTCATAATAAATATCTACTAAATATTTTTTAATAATTCAATAGAAAGCAGGTATAGGAGAGAGAGTCGGAGTCCACGTAGCACAAGGATCTGTGGGTAATTAGGAGCCGGGAAGTGAGGTTATGAAAGCTCAGGCCAGGAGCTGTCTGAGAGGGGAGCAGGGAGCCTGTGGAGGCAGAGTTCCATGGCCAAGGCTATGTTGATAATGGTGTCTTTCCCCCTCACTAGGGGTGGTGCCCACTCAAGATGTTCTTTCAATGCTGGGTGACATCCGCAGGAGCCTGGTGGAGGTAAGAGTGTAGGGACTTGGAGCAGGGCTGCAGGACACCTTTAACTGCTAACGCTCTCCTGCCCTCGTTCCTGTACGTTCTAGGAGCAGGGCTGTCCTTTCTCAAGGACAGGAGGCTGCCTACACTGTTGTGGTTCAGAGGAGTGAAAGGACAGGCTCTTGCTCTGGGCAGTCATTTAAGATCTTCCTAAGACAGAGGTCCAGTGGAAAGATGGGCATGTGAACGCTTAATTGATAGCCATGCAGTGCATGTACTGCTGGGTGCAGAGAAGGGCTAGGGAGGGATGAGCAGTGCTAAGAGGATGGTGGTCAGAGAGGATGCAAAGAGAAGGTTGTTTCTGAGGGGGGTTTTGATGGTTGAATGAGAATGTTCTGGGTAGACAACGGGAGAAACACCTTGTCTGGCCAAAGGAATCATGCAGGGACCTGTACAGATGGAAGAGCATGATATGGTTCCAGGAACCACAAGTGATGGGGAATCAGGAGAGCACGGGAGGCCCTGAAGTAAACCATCAAGTGAGCACTCTCCAACTGGAGTCCACTAGTATTCATCCAGCCGGGTGTCCGGTGCAGGCGACGAGGGCTCGGGGCCAGGAACCAGACCTGCCATCTCGAGAGGTGCTCTGCTGGCTGCCTGGCAGGTCCCGGAGAGGCTGGGCTGAGCCTGGGCACCAGGGTGGAGCAGAGTCACTGACCTGTGGGGAGGTGCTGAGTCTTCCTCAGTCCCCCTGCTCCTCATGCCACCTTCCTTGAAGGGGAGGACCCATAAAGTTCTGAGGACAGCCACCATCTCCCAAAACCACTTTAACTAACTGAGAGGGCTCAGTAAGTGAGGGCTCTGCAGTGTTTGACATCTAAGATAAGCTGTGTGTAATCCTGGGCCCCCACTTCCTTATCTTTTACATGCAGGAGTGAGAGGGTTTTGTTTTTGTAAACATAGTGAGTGCTGTGTGCCAGGCTGCACCAGGTTCTCCTGAGTCTTCATCACCATCCTTTGGGGCCTCGAGGATTAAATAAGGCCCCTGTTGAATACTGTTGGTATCCTCATTTAAGATAAGAGAGCTGAAGTCCAGAGAGGCTAGATGACGTGCCTGAGATGGCATAGCTAGTAAGTGGTAGAGCTAGGCTTTGGACCCCGGCTGGTCCACACTGCAGTACTAACTGGATGGTCACTGAAGTCCTTTCCAGTTGTGAAATTCTGGGCTCATGAATACCATGAAGGCTGTGGAAACTTCAGCTTGCCTTGCCCTTTTATTACATATCCTCTTGCCTCTTCTTGCCTGTCCCTGAGTATTCTGGCCTTACTGGGTACACGCGAGGGCAGGGCACTTAATTCAGACCAGCTTGGCCAAAAGGCATGCTGGGTCCCTGAAAGTATATTAGTGGGTGAATTTAGCAAGTACATTGGTGGGTGAATGTAGCAAGAAAAACTGACTCTTGATAACTTAAAAAATAAATAATAGTACTGGAAATATACAGGGTGGTTCACAGAGACCAAGGAAATGCTGAATACCTGGCTTTAGAAAGTGTGGGGACAGCCTGGGGGGGTCTCTGCATCAGGTGCCAGTAGATAGCACCGTCACCCTGGCACCTGTGCCATCCTGATGAAGCGCCTCACCTCCATTGCCCAAGATTCCAGTTTGTGGGAGAGGGTCTGTCTGGCCTGATGGGGACACAGCAGCCACTTAGCTGGAGAAGGCAGGCCCCTGGAGGGCAGCCCAATCAAGACCATGTGTAGGGGATGCTGGGAGGCCAGAGGTGGCCCATGGTGTGGGCCTGCCCCTAGGATGTGAAGCAGACTAGGCCAAAACAGTCCCTCAGGTGGAAGTTGTTTGAGGGGCCCGAGTCAGTGGTTGTGTGTGGGAGGAGGATGGTGGCAGTGGCTCATAGCTACCCGTAATTTTTTCCTTTTATTTAAATTAACAGTGGGGATGAGGGTGGGGGCTCTCTTGGCTCTCTCTAGTGACCAGCAGCATGAGGGCCAACTTCAGTAAAGGGTTAGGGCCACAGACTCCTGCATCAGCTGGGTTGGGGTTGGGACGGAAACCATGGTGGGGATGTGAGGGGGCTGGGACTGGGGGCATTGGGGTGGAAGGGCTTGGAGATGCCCTTAGGCTGCTGGGATGGGATAGGACAGAGAGAGCCCCTGCTAAACACAGGCCTAAACCTCTGAGGGGGCTTCAGAGCCTGCAGACACTGTGGGCCTGCTCCTTCTCAAAGCCTGCCCTAGCCCCTTAGCCCCAACTTCACAATCCTTGTGGGGAACCATGGAACTCCAGGACCTCAGCTGAGGAGCCTGGTTGCTCCTGCCCCCTCAGATCGGCATCCAGAACTACTCCACCACAAGCAGCTGCCAGGCACGGCCCAGCCAGGTGCGCAGTGACTACGGGACGCTCTTTGTGGTGCTGGTGGTCATCGGTGCCATCTGCGTCATCATCATCGTGCTCGGCCTGCTCTACAACTGCTGGCAGCGCCGGCTGCCCAAGCTCAAGCATGTGGTGAGCCGGGGCTTGTGGGCAGCAGGGCCTGGGCTGGGTGCACGTGCCTGTGGAGAGGAGGGGGGTGCCTAGCACGCTCCCCGCCTCTCTCTGGCTATTTCTTCATGTTGGGTAGGGTGGTGATCAGTAATTATCCTTGGCCACAGCACTGTGGTGAGCACTCAGTGGGGTCATGCAGGTGAAGTGCTTGTCCAGAGCCTGGCCCCTGAGTTGCCCCTCTCTGCAGGGCAGGCGTTGGAGGTACAGTCAGTGAGTGGTATTCTGGGCTCCACAGGCACCCCAGGCAGCAGCAGTGGGCCTCCAGATGGCCCCGGCTCTTCCCTGCAGGATGGACTACAAGGCCATCACTGGGTGGGAGAGTGCCCAGGGGCAAGAAGAGGGCTCCAGCCTGGGGGCTTCTGGTGAGGAAGGGGCAGACTGCCATGACAGACTGAATCCTGGCCACTTTTTGAGGAGCCCCTGGTGGAACTTAGGTGGTTTTGAGTCTCTAGCTTCTTTATAAAATGTGGCTGTTGGAAGGGACCAGATAATGTCAGGAAGGCAAAGGATGGTTAGGATTGTTAGCTGTGGGGGCAGAAGGGAACTGCCATGTGGAGGGTCTCCTGGGATCACTGTGTAGAGTTTTACCAACTAGGGGAAAAAAAAATGATTCGTTACAAGGTCACATGCTAGGAAATGGTGGAGACAGGATCAAGCAGGAGGTGTGTTTGTGCTGTTCTGGGCAGAGGTGGGGCTCGGGCACCTGGACCTGCAGGGGCCGGAGTGAGGGGGTTGCTGCCCTGCGTACTTTCCGGCTCAGCATCCTTCTCCCACTCGTCTGCAGTCACATGGCGAGGAGCTTCGCTTCGTGGAGAACGGCTGCCACGATAACCCCACGCTGGACGTGGCCAGCGACAGCCAGTCGGAGATGCAGGAGAAGCAGCCCAGCCTGAATGGTGGTGGGGCTGTCAACGGCCCGGGGGGCTGGAGCACTCTCTTGGGGGGCAAACGGGACCCCGAGGACTCGGACGTGTTTGAGGAAGATACGCACCTGTGAGACACCCCGGCCCGGACGCAGCAAGCGGGCCGAGGGCTGGGGCCTGAGTCGGACCCTGCGGCCCCCCTTCGCTCCCGCTCTGCTTGCGACTGGGCGCCAGAACGAGAAGGGCAGGCCCGCAGTGACCCCGCGCCTCCCCTGCCCTCTCGGGTCATTGGGTCGCCCACCCTGCAGTCTGACCCTCGATGCGGGGGGCTTCTCTCTGCTTCCCGCCAACATTACAAAACAACCTTTGCACAGTCCCCCTACCCACTCCCACCCTGAAGCCCTGAATATGAACCCCGGCTTCAGACACTGGCCCGGTCGGGGCAGCTCACCCTGGGACAGGACCCTGCCTTCCCGACCCCTTGCTGAACCCTGGGTCTGTGGCCACTGACCCTCCATGCCCCGCCCGCCCATCCGCCGGCTCTGAGTGTGGGGATGCAGGCGGCAGGTGCAACCTGCACACCGGGACTCCCATTAAACCGTCGGGGAGACGACGCTGAGCCCGCCTCGCCTGCTCGCCTCGTTCTTTCTGCTTGGGTTGGGGGTGTCTTTGTGATTAGGGGCGTGGGCTGCTAGAGGAGGTGGACGTGGTCGGGCAAGAGCCACCTCCTGTGGGACAAGGGGGAGGACCAAGTCCTAGTTCCGGGGTGGGAGGTGAGAGCGGTATGAAGGAGCAAAGCTCAGCGGGCAGGGAAGGCTGAGTTCAGGGTTGGGTCTGGCCTAAACTTGCGAGGAGCTGGGGTCTTGGTGCCCCTTGGCCCGAGGGGGTCAGGCGCAGAGCTTCGAGGCCTGGGCTCCGGGCCAACGAGGTCGGTCCTCCCGGCGCCAGGCGCCGCTGCGGAGCGCGGGCGGGGCGGGCCCGGGGGCGGGGCCGGCACGGGTGTTTACATCCGCCTGGTCGCTCCGCGGTCGCCGCCCGAGGTCGTTCGGTTTCGGGTCCGAGCCTTCGGCGTCATGGACACCAGCGACCTCTTCGCAAGCTGTAGGAAGGGGGATGTGGCCCGAGTGCGGTGAGGGGCCCACAGACTCGGGCCTGGGGGGCGCGGGAGGGGGTCGGAAGCCGACAGGACCCTTCCAGCCCGTCACTTGGCCGGGGCCACAGCTGCACGGCCTTGGGGGAGGGCGGGCGCCTCAGCCCTCGTCTCAGCTTTTGGGCGCGCTGGAGCCGGCGGAGACCATCGCCACCAGGCGCAGGGGGCGCGGAAGTAGAATCCCTCTAGGAGACGCCCGGGGTCCAAGGCTGCCTTCGAGATGGGAGCGCGCGGGGGGGAGGGGGGAGGCGGGCGAGGTGATGGTGGTATGCTCCCGGTGGTCTAGGGGGGCTTCCCGGAGGAAGGTACTGCTACTTGGAGCCCGAAAGAGAAGCTGGCGGAGAGAAGAGAAGGGGCTACTCCTCTGGGTTAGCAGAGTGCGGATGCTAGGCCCCAGGGCTCTACACCTGGCGCTGGGGCTCTAGACCTGGTTCTGGGGACACCTTGGGTCCAGAATCGGCTTCCTGCCGCCGGAGTTTCAGAAGCCACTATGGACGACTAAAGCAAATCTGGTGCTGAAAGTGCAGTCTCCGTTGGCCACACGAGGGTGGGAGGGCCCAGCTGGGATCTGGGCATCTCTTCCTTGGCTAACATTCCCTGTCCCCCTCGTTGGACTCTTTTCTCGCTGTGCCTTCCTTCCCCATTCCTTTGTCCTGACCTGCCGACCTCCCCAGGGCTGGCCTCAGGCTTTCTGCGCCTCCTCACTTCCCCAGCCTCCCTAGGCTCTTCCCCAACATCAGATGACAGCCAAGACTTGATGACCCCTGAGGGTGAAAACAAACATAGGTATCTCTCAGGTCCAGGCTGCCCACCTGAGAGCAAGACAATCATGTCCAAGCTGAAATTCTCACTTTCCCTCAGACCTTTTCTCCAGTTCTCCACCTCATTGCTGGCTCCACCACCATCCATGCTGACTCCTCTCCCATCTTCCACATCCCATCAGCTTCCAAGTCCTGTGACTTCTGTCTTCCAAAGTCTGTCCACTTCTCTCCATACTCTCCTCTGCCTCCCTGGTCTACACCCCCCTGCTGCCTGCCGCAGCCTCCTCTCTGGCCCTCCTGCCTCCAATCTCCCTCTGCCAACCTGCTGCCCAAGCAGCCAGAGGGCTGTCTCAAATTCAGGCCCCATCACTCCCTTCTCACTTCCAGCTCCTTCAGGCCCAATCTCAGCCTCTTCACTCTGGGGCCTAGCCCTGCCTCTCCAGCTCACTGTTCTCTGCCCCACTGTTGATGTTCTCAGTGTCTGCCTTATGTGTTCTCATGCCCCTATACCCTTGTCCCTGCTGTCCCCTGGCCTGGCGTGCCTTTCCTGCTCTGGTCTGCCTGCCTCACTGCCCTCACCTAGTCAAATGGGATGCTTTCCCTCTTCTGTTCCATGATCTCTCCCAGACCATGAACTGGTCATGACCCAGGCTCTGACCTCCCTTCCCAGGTACCTGCTGGAGCAGCGTGATGTGGAGGTGAATGTTCGGGACAAGTGGGACAGCACCCCCTTGTGAGTGCCGATGGTGGGATGGTTTGGGTGGGCTGGGGGTGGGGTGGTCATAGCGGGCTGGGAGGACCCTTCAGCGCTGACAACTGCCTCCCGCCTTACTTCCTTCCCTCAGATACTATGCCTGCTTGTGTGGGCATGAGGAGCTGGTACTCTACCTTCTGGCCAATGGTGAGGAGGGGACAGGGTCAGTGTGTATGTGTGTGCATGTGCACACATGCATACGCACGTGCACTCAAAGCCATGTGTACACATCTGCAGATGCCGAGGGCACCTCATGATTCCTTTCACCCCCCCTACATCCAATCAGCAAGTACTACAAGCTCTACTTTCAAAACCTACTCTCTTCTCTGTCCATTTCCTCCATCTCCACTGCTGCCTCTGAGGTCGAGCTACCTGGATGCAATGCCAGCTCCTCACTGGTGTCTGGCTTCCCTTCTTGCCCCATATTGTAGCCAGGGTGACCTTTACTCAACAAATTTGATCTTGCTTAAAATTCTCCAGTGACTTTCCATTGCCTGTGGAATAAAACTCTAGCCTCATTGTGCCTCCGAGGTTGCCCATGTGCTGATCTGCCCCCCTCCTTTTGGAGTTCGCCTCCTCCCCCACTCCCACAGTCACGCTGTTCCAGCCACACTGCCTTCTTTCTGTTGCACCAACATGCAAGCCTGCTTCTGCCTCGTGGCCTTTGCGCTTGCTGTTCCTTCTGCACGGGCCACCCTTTCCCAGACCTTTGCCTGGCTTTCGAGTCTCTGCTCATTGTCAGCACCACAGGGTGGCCTTCCACGACCTCCCTATGCAGCAGCCGCCGCCACTACCACCTCTTGCTTTGCTTTATTTTTCTTGATAGCAGCTGGTGTGCTACCTGGCACTATTTGTTAGCTTGCCTATCAGGCTTCTCCCCAGCTGGACTGTGAGCTCGGTGAGGATGGGGGCCTGTTTTGTCCCCAGTAACTAGGACAGAGCCCATCACAGAGTGTGCTCTGGGTTTCATATGGTACATGTGAATGAATATGTGGACATGTGAGTGTATGTGGCTGTATGTGCACTTCTGTGCCTTGGTAGGGAGGATGCTGGGGTCAGAGTGGGCCCAGGGTAATTTGGGAAGAGATCGCTAGGGCTTATGGGCCCCATGTGAGTGGAGGTGGTGAGGAGGGCCAGGGAGGTTACGGTTTTCCCCAACCCTGAGGGGATGTGGTCCCAGGCTTGCCCCAGGCCCTTCGCCAGTGCAGCGTGCAGCTGATGCCCTGCTGACTGGGAGCCCTGCCACCCCAGGAGCCCGCTGTGAGGCCAACACCTTTGATGGAGAGCGATGCCTTTACGGGGCGCTGAGTGATGCCATCCGGCGGGCGCTGCGAGACTATAAGCAGGTCACAGCCTCCTGCAGGAGGCGGGACTACTACGACGACTTCCTGCAGCGGTAAGACAGGAGGAGACATGCCCAGCGCCCAGGGATCTCTGCTGGGGAGCTGAGCTTGCTGGTGTGGCCCCTTGGGGCTGAGGGCTCTGCCCTGGGCGGCGGGGAATGAGGGAAGTCTGTTGAGCATTCCTGCCCCTGTATCCCCCCAGGCTTCTAGAACAGGGCAGCCACAGCGACGTGGTATTCGTCGTGCATGGGAAGCCGTTCAGGGTGCATCGCTGTATTCTGGGGGCACGCAGCGCCTACTTCGCTAACATGCTGGACACCAAATGGAAGGGCAAAAGCGTCGTAGTCCTCAGGCACCCGCTGGTGCGTCCCTCCAGGGGGTGGGGGTGGGCTGGCTGCCCAGGGAGAGCAGAAGGCTTGTGCTGGGCAGCAGTCTGTAACTTCTCCTGCGCTGTCTCTCTGCCCACAGATCAACCCCGTGGCCTTTGGGGCCCTGCTGCAGTACCTGTACACAGGTGACTCTGTGGGCCCAGCGTGGGTGGGTGGTGAGGAAGCTGCATTTCTGGCCAGTAGCAGACCCAGGAATAGCCTTGGAAGGTGAAGATCCAGACCCAGGTGTGGCCTCAGGCCAGCCTTTCACCTCTACGCACATAGTCCTGGTGGTTCCAGCCACCTCCTAGTTCAGACTATGAGAAAGCAGGCTGGTGTACCTGGCACACAGTCTGCTCAGGAAGAGTTGGTCCCACCCACAAACTGAGCCCTCCCATTAGCCCCTGGGCCTGTAGAATTTACTCTGTGGCTCTTTTTTTTTTTTTTTTTAAATTTTATTTTTTTTGTTGTTGAGAATATACACAGCAAAACATACATGAATTTAACAGTTTCTACGTGTACCATTTAGTGACATTGATTATATTCTTCGAGTTATACAACCATTCTCATTCTCCTTTTCTGAGTTGTTCCTCCCCCATTAGCATAAATTCACTGCTTCCTAAGGTTCCTATCTAGTCTTTCAAGTTGCTGTTGTCAATTTGATCCCAGATAGATAGTTCTTAAAAAGAACATAATGCTCAAAGTAGACATTTTTTATTGGTTAAGCTAAACTATTGTTTGGTTTTAAGAAGATTTTAGGGGATGTTTTTGGTTTAAGATTTAAAGATTATCTCAGGTCATTAGTTTTAGGGGTTCATTCGGCCTCCATGACTCCAGAAAATCTGGAGTGCAGTAGAATTGGAAATTCTGTTCTGCATTTTCCCCCTTTTGATCCGTATTCTATGGAATCTTTGATCAAAATGTTCAGTAATGGTAGCTGGGCACCATCCAGTTTTTCTGATCTCATGACAAGGCATTTTGTTCATGGAGGCAATTAGCCACACATTCCATTTCCTCCTCCTATTCCTGACTCTCCTTCTTCTGTTGATCCAGGTGAATAGAGACTAGTTGTTGTGCCTTGGATGGCTGCTTGCAAACTTTTAAGATCCCAGGCACTACACTATGAACTAGGAGCACTAAACATGTTACTAGGCTATTTTACTGGGATGTCCTGTGAAACCATGATCTTAAATCTCCAAACCAAGGAACCAAACCCCAGCTGTTC